TCCTCCTCTCTAAGTGAGGTTAGTATTGGCATGAGTCTACCCCCAGGGGATTCTTGTTTTGGGCAAGATTGGTTTCAATGACTCTGCATCACTGGCATCCATCAAGCTCTTGGGTTCCTGACTGTAAAAGCCACACAGGGCTACAAGGGAAGTTTAAATGAAGCAACAGATGGAAATCCACTTTTGTCAAGAAGTTCTGTTTAGGCTGGATGTGGTGGTACATGCCTGTAATCCCAGAATTTGGGAACCTGAGTCATGAGGACTGCTGAGAGTTCTATGCCAGTTTTGGCTACAAAATGAATTCAAGGATGGCCTGAACTGCATAGCAAAACCCTCTTGAAAAAGACGGGAAAAAGAAAGAAAGAAAGAAGGAAAGAGAAAGAAAGAAAGAAAGAAAGAAAGAGAAAGAGAGAAAGGGAGAAAGAGGAAGGAATGAGGAAAGGAAGGAAGGAAGGAAGGAAGGAAGGAAGGAAGGAAGGAAGGAAGGAAGGAAGGAAGGAAGGGGAAATTCTGTTTAAGATGGTCCTTCCCCTTGCCCTGTAAGACAGGAAAGGCACATGGGACTGAAGGCTCACAGAAGCTGGGTAGAAATCTTAGGTTGTGTATATCCTCTATCCAAAGTGCTCAGAGCCAGAACCTTTTGCATTTCAGATTTTCTGGTTAGAAATGTGGTATTTATTTGCTGTGTAATCCTGGATGAGCCACTTTACCTCTTGGCAACTCATTTGTAAAGCAGGGAGACCACTGCCCTTTGCTGAGTGATTGTGAGGCTCACAGAAGGGAGGACCTAACACAGATCACATTCTTGCTGGATGTTTCTTTCTCCCTATGCTTTCATCGGGCAGGCATCCTCTCTACTGGGTATCAGCCATTTACCTTCCTCTTCTGTGAGATGGAGAGGCTAAGCTGCCATCACTACAACCCATCTCAGGGGTGCTTACGTCAAGCCCTTCACCAACTACAAAGCCACAAACATAATTCCTAATGGCAGCATGGCACTGGTGACTGAAGGGGAGTACTAGGATATACCACCCTTGGTAAAGCCTCCAGGTCCTTCTTAAAGGAGTAAATTCACCCATCTCTGACTTAGCCAGAGTTGGTTTTGGAAGTGCTGGAGAAGTGATCCAGCTCCCAGAACACATCTCACAGCTGTCTTGCTCATTTATGGGAAAAGCAAAACAGGTCATCACAGGAACCCAGTGATGATAGGAAGTGTGGAAAGGGGACGAGTCACAGTTTGCTGTGAGCCCCCATGCCTTCTTCACGTGAGAGAAAACAGTATCAGGACATGGATAGCTTCCAAGCAATGTCCTTTCTGGGCAGTTGTAGCTCTAGGTCTGAATTGCCACCCAACCTGGACCACTGTACTTATGCAGTAGACATGGTGTAGTAGCTGGAGGCAAAAGAAGGAAGTGTTCTATAAATCAGGATACCCAGGGCTGCTATCTTAGGTGTGGAGGACTCAGAAGCAAACAACTGTGCCTTAGGCCTTGCATCCTTTGCTGAATGTTCCCACACAGGATGAGCCCAATCTATGGGGCAGGTTTCACCCTCATCTTGACACCAACAAGCCAGCCTATCTTTCTAATCCACCAATCTGATCCATACCCCCCAACCTCCTGCTCACACACCTGTCTTGGTTCATCATGCAAAGGAAACAGCTCTAGATTCCTGGAAGAGCTACAAGTCTTTCCCTGTTGTCAGCTTCTCCAGATGCATCTCCTCCTCCACCTTTGTCTGTATCCTGCTTTGACCACATTAGGGTATTCACCCTCCCACCTTTGTCCATGCAGTAACCTCTTTCCTCTCTGCCTAACAGAATCAGACTCATCTTACCAGGTCCAGTGGCAATGTCCTCTCTTCTTGACCTTCTAGCATACCATTCCCTCCTCCCCTCTGCAGCCGCTATACTCATTTGCTGGTCAGTCGACTGTGGAGTAAGCATCTCCGCCAAGGTAGCCCCACAATCAAGGCATAGAGTTGATGAGGTTCTTGCCCTTGAGAATTTCCTGATCCAGTGACAGACGCAAAAACTGCAGATAAATGGTGACAGCACAGGAGGGAAGGGATGAACTTGGCATAGCCTCCCATGTTACTCTGTACCACACCCTGGTTGTCCTGCAAGCACTGGCTTTGGGACGCCATCTTCACAAAGACAGGGACTAGATCTGATTTCCCTGGCCTAATTAGCACCTGGCCCAGAGAAGGTGCACAGGAAAAATGTGCTAAAGTGTTGGAGATTGCAAATTCACAATGGCTAATCTTGCATACTTCCCTAAGGGATAAATGGAGTTTGGGGATTATCCATATCATTCTTTTGAGATTTCCTATTAACCCTTGGGATAGGATATCTTCTACCCACTAAGACTAAACTAAAACCATTAAGGTTAAAAAACACTCCAGAGCAAGGTCCTGCTTGGCATAAGATCATCTCTGTTATCCCTTGCTTGCTAAGTTTTCCACTAATCCTTCCTATCATTGTATATATACAATAAATGGTGACTGGTTTGGAGTGTCTCTGTTTTCTTATTTTATCCTTTCATCATCCATCATTCAGGCAGTTGGGGATCTTGGTCAGGTCCCTGAAGTAGATGAATTTTGGTCCTGAATGTTTCAAGCAGACCTTGTTGGCCCAAAGCCTTGTCCTTCATTTATTTAGTTTTTTTGATACTGGGGGTCGAACTCATGACTTCATGCTTGCCAGGCAGGTGCTTATGCCACTGAGTCAAATCCCCAGATGATATTTTATTTTTCACTGCATAATGGTAACACTCTTCAGTATTTTATAATCTACTTGATCCTCAAATACTCAAGGGAAGTCAACAAACTAGGAGCTATCACCTCTATTTCATAATGCAGAATCAGAAACCTACACAGCCCAGGGACAGCAACCTGCCCAAGCAACCTGCCTTAAGTGAGTGTTAGAGGAGTGGCCAAAATCCAAACTTTCTGTTTTTCAGCTCAAGTTTGGCCCCTCAAATCATACTGAAGGTGAGTAGGTAGGCCCTGGATTCTAGTGCAAGGAGAGTCTTCCATAGAAGACACTTCAAGAGCAGGCACAAGTCACACAACGACCTGAGATCTTCAGCAAGCAGGGTCCTGGCTCCAAGAGCACCCTCTCTGAGAATAGGGTACAGGTATCCACTGGCACCTTCTACATCCATCTGGTTGTACTCTTCTTTGCCCAAAACTATACTACACTTACATGCAACTCCCAGCCTTTGCACACATCAGTCCCCATGTCCCCCTGTGACATGGCATGCCACTAGCCTTTCCTCAGTTTCCTGCAAGGTACCAAGCTCTTTCCAGTCCCAGGGTCTCCCCTACCTAGGATGCTTTTTGACTACTCTTTAACTAACTCAGCCCTCAGGATTCAGTGACATTTATTTAGTGAGATTTAACCCTTGTGACCTTCAGGGAGTTGAACAAATGGAAGTGTTTCTAGGTAATTTCAGTCACAGTATCAATCACATGCTTCCCTGAGACTATGAATCTCATTATTCTCCTTTCTCCATTGAAGAGATGGTAAAGATCTCAAAAGCAGAGACTGGCTGTCCTCTCATGCTGTGACCCCACAGCCAGCTTGTTCAAGCTATGCCGATGACATCTGTCTCTTCGCTGCCCTCCACATCTAGAAGTCCCTCCACTAGCTCCCACGTTCTCTTGCACTCCCTTTTTCTTTTTTGTGGTGCTGGGTGTCACAACAGGGCCCTGGCATGTTAAACCAATACTTTACATTGAGCTACACCCTTAGTATTCTTTTCTCTAGACCAGGCCTTCCCTCCATTCCTCTATTGATCCAGGCTCAGACTCATCCTCTCTGCCCCCACTTCCTCCCCTGCCCTTCCCAATGCTACCTCGTGTCCATTTCCCACATTGTGGCTCAGAACTTTTAAAACCCATCTAAGCACACTCATGTTCCTAAAGCTCCTCCAAGAACCCCCACTTCTAAAATCATGCCTCAGCCCTCCATCTCCAGTCACTCTAGGTCCCCCATTCTGCCCTAAACAGGCCAGCTTTGCCAAGCTTTCACACCAGCCCTTCTCTCTTGCCCTCACTTTCTCCATCTGTTGCCTCTGCAATATCCACTCATGGGGCAACGAATGCAATTTGGGGACACTTTCTATGTGCCATACTCCTTTCATACCTTACCTTATCCTTTAGTTCTTAAAACACCTTAAACAATAATAATTACCATTCCTATTTTACAGACATGCAAACTTAGATGCAAGAAAGGGAGGCTCTGAGCGAGTTTCCAGGTCTGATCCCCAAACTGCTGCATCCCATTCTCTCTGGGAATTGCACCCAGCTCTTCGGTCGGTCGAAGGCAGAGCCCATTCTCCTCTGTGGCTCCCCAGCTTCTTGGCTTCTCTTGTGTCCCAGTACTGTTGTCGTTGTCCATGCTCAGCTATTTCTGCCACCTCCAACCACACGACGTGAACATCTTGAGGACAGGCCTAAGCTAATCAGGCTGGAGCCTGAGCACCTCACAGAGCACATATGGTCTATGATCCCGATAAATAGAAAGGCAGAGGTATTTCCGGTGGTTTAGAAGCTGAGCGCTAAACTAACTAATTCCTATACAGGGACCTGAAACAGGATCTTTGCAAATGGAGACAGCTGGCAAACCGCCAAAAGAACAGGAGCTCCCCAGCCCTCTGCCGTCCCGCACGTGCTTGGGTCCCCTGCCCACATCCTAGCTGTCGGACTGGACCAATTTCCTAAGGGAATTTCTAAGGGCGGTCTGAGGGAGCAACTGGAATAACCGGGCAACCTCCCTGGAATCAGGACTCGAGCGTCCCTGCTTCCCGCATTCTGCCCAACCTGCGCAGTGCAGGCCCCCGCCCTGCCTCCGGCTCGCACCGAGCCGAAGCCCCCGCGCTTCTCTCGGATCCCCCGCGCGAGGACTTGGTGCCGGCCGCGGGGTGGAACGGCCCGCCCCCAGCTCACGTCGCGGCCCGCCCCCTTGTGAGGTTATAAAGTGCGCGCTCCCGCAGCGAGTTTAGCGGCTGCGGTCTCGCTCGTTGGTCTTCGGTTCTTTGCGCCGCCTGGGGCAGTGCCTCAGCTGAGCAGCTTGGGCACCGTCAGCGGGCTGCCTTGCTCTGCGCGAAGCCCTGGCCCCGGCGGCCAGGGCATGGGCCAGGGTCGTGGGGCGAGGCGGCTTCTGGCGGGGCCGTGACCTGCACCAGCTTCAGCATGAAGACCCTCATAGCAGCGTACTCTGGGGTCCTGAGAGGTGAGCGTCGCAGCAAGGCTGCCCGAAGTGAGGGCTCCAGTGGAAGATCCGTGCTGTCCCGTGTTGGGTCTGGAAGATGGGGTGAGTGTCTATCACACCTGGAGACTTTGATCCTGGTAGTGTGCAACTGCAAGATTTCCAGGAAAGGGCTCCGAGGCAGACTGACTGGTGCTGGAACACTGGCCCTTGGAGGATGAGTTCCCAGCACCTTCCTTTTCTGTTGGAGAAACTCACATCTTTCTCCAGTTTTCAGGGTCTGTGATGAAGGAAGAATCCTCATTAGGTAGCCTAGTTACCCAGTCTAATCCAGCAGTTTGGCAATCTGGTCAAGTCTGGGTGCGTTCTCCATTCTGGCACTCATCACTGTTTTCGACATCTGTTACATCACCTCCTGTCCCCCAGGTAATGAGAATGACACCATCCACCCTTCTCAGTTATTAGGAGCCTTGGAGAACTCCTCTCCAGTCCCCAGTACTGTTTCTGACCCCTGGCAGTTTTCTCCCCATCCTCTCATCAGGTGGAGCAAGCTTTGAGAACAAGACTGAATGGGACAAAGGTTTTGCAATCCCCAGAAACAATGCCTAGATTGGGACCATGTCTGGCTGGGGCAGGCGTACCCCCACTGTCCTCTGGTGTGCTTCCATCTGCCAGATCAAGGGACCCACTCAGCACCAACTTAGAAGCTCCAAATGTTTACAAGGCTGGTGGGTGGGTGGGTGCTGGGTGCCTTCCAGTGTGGAACTCAGACCTTCATGGAATCAAGGGCACAATTGAAATCACACCTTCCACCATCACACTTGTCTATAGTTAAGAGAAACTGAGCTGGGCTGGGGATTTTCAGTGGCATAAGCACCTGCCTTGCAAGAAGGCGGTTGTGAGTTCAATCCCTGGTACCGGAAAAAAAGAAAGAAAGAAAAAAAAGATTAAAAAAGAGAGAGAGAGAGAGAAACTGAGCCAGGAGGAAGCAGTTTGTCTAGTTTCCTTGGTAGATACCTTGAGTGGGGGATTAAATACAAATTCAGGAGACCCTAGAAGTCTTCGCAGCTATCCTGGTCTGTAAGTCTGTCTATGCACAGAGCTTCTCTTTGTCCTAAGTCTTTTTTTCTGCTTGCTAAACCTCTGCTACCTGGGATTTTCCTTTAGCAACTAATAATTCCCTTCTTTGTTCACCTTTGTTATTTAAAAAAGTGCTAATTATGGAAATCTTGGGACAGACAAGAAAATAAAATTTTCTGATGTCATCTAACCAAAGATAGCTTTCTATTAGTATTTTAAAATATTTATTTATAATTTTCCTTATACATATGGTAGGTATTAAATACCAACATGCTGTAGAGTTCTGAATCCTGCTTTTTTCCCCTTTGTTGTTCCATCTTGAGTATTTCCTGTTGTTAATCAAAATCATTTTTAATGTATTAGTGGCTGCAAGGTAACCCACCCTGGAGCCATAATTTAGCTGTCCTGGGCATTGACACTGTCCCTCAAGGATTGCTCTCATTATCTGCCCTCTTGGTCTGGGTGCTGCTTGTTCCCTTGGAGAAATACTGAGCATCCTTGAGTGACCATCCTGAGCTGTCTCATGCAATGGTTCAGCAGCCTCTGATAGCCTGTTGTGTCACTTAGAGTGCTTTTCTGTTCACTGTGCCCTTCAACCCCCTTAATACCTCTGTGCTTTTAAAATGTTTTGTTCTCAGATATTAGGATGGGGTGTTCCCTTCTTGGTCTTTTCTGGAGATCCCCTTCTTAGGCTCTGTTCTCCACAAGTTGTGTCTTCCAGGAACCAAATGACCCTAGCTCTTATTTTTTGACCTATAGTTAGTTATTCAGGAGAACTTGTACTCTAGCAGGTGGTCACATAATACCATATCAGGACATTTCCCTATATTGTTATCAGATCTTGAAAATATAATATTTAAAAACTGAGTGTGAGAAATTATAGCACAGAATGTAGCAAGAGCTAATAGGTAAACCAGTCAGTTTAGCTCTTCAGAGTCTACATTGGTGAAAGACTGGGTGGGGTATGGGAGGTGCTAAAACAGATTTTATATTATCTTGGTATCTTCATTAGTCCTGCTTTCTACATCCTCAGCCCTCTAAGACACTCCCCCATGGCCTAGTTTGCCTCTGCAGTTAAGTTGCCAGTGTTTTGAAGTAGTGAGCACCCTGTGACTGGCAGTATTAAGGAGAGACCATGGATTCTGTGAAGGAAAGTACTGTGATGGGTGAGAGATTGCAATAGATACCTTGGCACTTGGTTTTTTGCAGCAGTGTGGGTAGAGGAGTGGGAGGATACTGGGGAAAGGGGAGTGTATATTGATGTCTCCTAGTCTCTGAAAGGCAATCTTGGTCCAGGCTTGCAGGCTTTTGAGTAGCTGCATCGGCATCCTTGGTACTGCCCCTACATAGGGGCTCTTCAGGGCGGAGCCCTTGAATGGTTACTTAAATCCTCAGGGTTCAGCACAAGACCCAGCACGAGGTGGTGACAGTAAAATTCTGAACTGATATATTTTGTGGAGCCTCAAAGAGCAGGAACTGGAGTAGAACTATGGAGGGGGCAGGTTTTGACAAAATGGAAGAACCCTTCTAACAGCTATTGATGACTGTGTAGGCTCGGATGATACAGATGGAGCTCCTCATTTGTGGGGTTATGCAAATAGGGGCTTGGTAGGAGGGTAAAATGAAGTATCTAGATTGTTAGGGATAACTTTGGAGCTGAGGAACTAAACCATATGAAGAGAGCATCACTTTCATGTTCCCACTCCCTCAACTTTGTGCAGCATTTCTCCTCTCTTCTATCACTTTCCCAGCTGCACAGAGACAACTTTTGGGTTACCTGTGTTCAAGGGTTCGGCCAGGAATAGTATTTTATTAGCAGGCAGAGTGACTCAGCTGCCAGTGTGGAAATCCAGTCACTCCTCTACCCTCCTGCCACCAAATTCAGTACCAAGAATGTGAGTCATAACAACGTAGATATCTATTAACGCTGGACCTGGCCCAACTCTCTTGGTACGGATGGTATGGATGGGAATCCAGAAGTCCCCAGGAGAAGGGACTCATCTAGGGGTACAAAGCAAGGCCAGAACCCAAAGCCATCTCAATCTGCAGCTATGCATCCCTAAACAAGAGGAGTGCGGTGAGGCCTGAGAGGTTGAGTGCTGCACAGCGTGGGTGCTTCACAGTTTCCTGAATGAGTGAAGGTTGCACCTGGTCTTCTTGATGCAGCCCCAAGCTTTGTGAGGAAGCTGCTCACAGTGCCCAGCTAGAAGTACCAGTAGCCCCCAGAACTTGTGCCTGGGTGAACTGCTTGTCACACCCATCGCCATACATGATACCTTCCCAACTCCTCCTCAGGCTATGGGGCCACATGAATGGGCCCCTCCACCTCACAGCCTTTGTCCACCATGCCACCTGCCCTGCTCCAGACATGCCCAGGGTCATCTTGACCCTCCAGCACTACTCCAGTTCAGTCCTGTGTGAGGGCCTTTGTGTGCAGCCTTCCTGCCCAAATCTTTGCTGACTGGCTTCTGAACACTCAGTCTCCTCTCTAGGCCTTCCTTGGCCACCTGTGTGGAGAGCCACCCCAATCACCACATCTTTTGCTTTCACAGCTCTTACCATGATCTAAATCATCATGTGTTTTTATCTATTTAGACATTTTTCTCCTCCATAAGAATGTCTGCCCTTGGGAACAGGGACCTTGTCTGTCTTAGTGTGTGTCTTGCACCTAGTACAATTGTGTCCTAGTATTTACCTCAGTTAGTAGCAGGTAGTAGGTACTCAGCAAATATTAGGTTACTGAGTGAGTCATTAGTGGAACTTCCCTCTTGCTGTTGGCTTGAAGCCCTGCTTTTAGCTTTAGTGTGTTTCCTTGAATCTTCTCCAGGTCTCTTTTCCTACCCATTCTGGGTGTTGGGGCTACAGCTGTTCCTTGCCCTAGAGTCACACCATCTGACCACAAACTGGCCCCTGGAGCTGAGTATTGAGTAGGTGAAGCCAGACTTGACACAGTTCCCCTCATAGCTTTCAGAGTTTAGAAGCCAGCAAGCTAGGATTCTAGCCTTGAATTTTCTCTGGGACATGGCTGGATGTCTCACCTCCTCTCTGAAAGTCTCACTTTCCCTTGCCTCTAAAAAAAATTTGAAAATCTCAGACTCTTGGGATATGAAGGGGTTTAAGATGAGCGGAAAGTGCTTTATAAGCTAACTTTGTGATGCTCATGTGAGTTCTTGTCATTGGTTCTGTATAACATTCAGCAATCCCCTTTACTGTGGAGGATGATATACTCCTCTCTGGGGCACCCATTAAAGCTTCACCAAAGTGGGGAGGTAAGGCATGGGCCAAACCGTGTATTGATTGAACAACTTCGTGTCAGCCATGATCCGTATCTTCAAGGAAACAAGACCAGGGTACACAAGATGATGGAACAGAGTGATCTGAGCCATGACAGGGAACAAAAGGGCAACTGTGAAGCACAGTAGGGAGGGTGAGGGAAGTAAATTACTCTGGGCTCAGAGCGGTCTTCCTAGAAGAGGTGTTACTCAGTCTGGATCTTGATATGTGCATAGATGCTAGCAAGGCTGTCAAGAACATTCAGGTGCAAGGAATAGCATAAATAAAAACGTGATTTAGGTTCAAGGGGCAATCTGACTGCAGACCAACCTGGGCAACAGTCCTACTTCTGTGTACTGAGAAGTAGAGACAAAGAGATAACATGTCGTGTCCAGGCTGGTGGAGGTCACCACCATCTGCCTGGGCAGGAAGAAGTGAGAACCCTTCCAAAAGGAGTCTGGTATAGTCACAGTTTCCTGGACTCTACCACTCCATAGCACTCCTGGTGTGGAGCCGCTATTGGCCAATGAGATCTTGCCTAGGAGTCAGGTGCAGGGTCTATGCAGCCCCTACTCTATCCCTGACCTTCTGTGCAGCCTTGGCAAGTCACTGCTCCTTCTTGACTCTCAGTCTGTTGTATGAAACTGTCAAATGATGATGGAAGTTCCTTCCTAGTTGTGGTGCTGAATTTGGACCCTTTGGGCCTGTCCAAAAAAGCAGGAACCATGAACCCCTTTTCTTATATGAGCAGT